GGGCATAGGATGATGATTATGCAAGTGTAGATTATGAAAATATGTAGGATAGATAATAGTTCACCGTAGACTTGAAGAGATTAAAATTGTTTAACACTTTCTTAGTTACTAATAATCATATAGAAATAATGTCAATATAGAAATAATTACATCAAAACTAAAAGCCATAAAAAACTAATGATGAAAAAGTATGTAATATATATATATATATATATATATATATATATATATTGGTGTACATTTTCTAGTATATATATATATATATATATATATATATATATATATTACATACTTTTTCATCATATATATATTGGTGTATATATATATATATATATATATATATATATATATATTACATTTCGTCATATATATATATATTGGTGTACATTTTTCTAGTATGCATATATATATATATATATATATATATATATATAATAAGATAAAGAACAAATAGAAAATGTTTATAAATCTAACGTTTTGATTTTGTTAAAATTTCATCAGTGAATGGGTTATGAAAAAAAATTTTTGGTATTTTTGTTTTGTATTGTTTGATTCTCATTGGTTAAGCAGGCTTCACATTCATTTGACTTGTCCAACAATATCTGTATGTAGAATTTGTATGAAGTATATCATAATTCTAGTTTGTCTATGTGTATATATGTAAGTGTGTGTGTGTGTGTGTCAAGTAGGCATTGTTTATGCTTGGAGATTGTCTGCATGTTGATTTGGAGATGTTTTTGCATCAATACTGGTCATGGTAGTTAAATATATATCAGATTCTTTAAAAATGGATTTAATAAATGTTGTTGATGTAATATAGTGTTTTTGGCATGTGTTTATAGTTGGTAAAATTTTTATCAGGACTCCCTCCAAGTATTTTTGATGTAAAGAATTATGTTCTTTTTTTAATTAAGGTGGCTTTTGAAAAATCAAAATTATGGCCAGTCTTTTTCCTGTATATTACAATTTAGCATAAATGGTTATTCCAACAAATGTCTGTCTTGTGTTCACAAATGCAGGCTTTTAGATTCCAAGACGTCTTGCCAATGTAAGTGTATTTATATTGCAAGCACTTTATCAGATAAATCCCAACATCTGAAGTGGTGTTAGATTTATTTTTCTTCTTAATTATATTTCTGATTGTCTTTGATAAAGACTCTAATTCATTTTCAAATTTTGCAGAAAGTGTGTCCACAAATCAAAAAAATTAGACACCGCCAATAGCTCTTCTAACATCAACAATATTAAATTGATAATCCTACTTTCTAACATGCTATTTACAAAATTTTATACTTTGACATGGTTTCCCTCAGTCTTTTCTATAAAGATTTTTATGGCAATTGTCCTAATGAGCTCTCCTCCTTGTATGAATTTAAGCATGCTACTAGATTGGCTATTAAGTCTCATCATTTGTTGATGTAGCTATATGTAATATTTTCTTTCCTCACACTTCTCACCTGTGGAATTCTTTTCCAATTTCTTGCTTCCCTATCACCTACAATCTTCAAAATGTAGACACAATGCCAACTGCCATCTTCTGTCTTCCTGAACCATGCTCTTTTTTCCTCCTTTCTCATCAATAAAGTCTTTTGATGCTTTTCCACTCCCAGTAATCCCTTACATCTTAGTGGCATTATTGCCTTGCTTGGGGTGAAATAATAAAACATATGTTCTTCTGTTTTAGTTTTAAGGAGAGAAAAACCTCGGAGTTTAATTTAATGTCAATTTTCAATTTAAGGAAAAAAGCAAAATAACACTTTATTAGATTTATATGAATGTTAATTCAGATACTTGTACATATTAATATAGTAATCTTTTCGTCTTTGAAATTTCCAAGAGCCATTCATAATTTCAAGTTATTATGTGCATACAAGTTACAGCTAAGAACTTAAGAATCACTGAATACTTGTATGAATTTATCAATTTTTCATTAGCAGCATTAACCAACCTTTGACTTTATTCAACAGAATTTCCTTTTGGAAATATTCTGACTCAGTTCAGAAGAAAAAGGCAAGTATTGAAAATTTTTCAATTTTTTAATCTGCAGATATTCTTCATCCTCTGTTTTTCTTTCTTTCTCTCTCTTTCTCTCTCTCTCTCTCTCTCTCTCTCTTTTGATTAGATATTGTTTTTAAAAGAAATGCGTGTCAGTCTTGCATAACATATTTACTGCAATCAATGACGACTCACAAATGGAAAAGGTGCTTTTATGAATCAATGGAAGACAAAATGTTTTTTCTTGTCATTGGTTGGGGTTGACAGCTGCAGTTTTGTCTTTGAAAAATAAGATAGGAAGAAAAATCAGTAAAAGAAAGATCAAATAGTTTAGAAGTACACATGAATTTGGATGGACAGATAGATACCAGTGTCAATTTTTTTTTTTTTTGATTTTTTATAAAATGGTATTTTCTTGCTTTCCTCTATTTACATAGCAATCTATCAATTTATAACTCATTTCAACAGAAAAAAAATCAAATTCGTTTTTTTCCTGTTTTTTTAATGTATTTTTGTGACCTAATTGTCTAGTTAAACAGTCTAATCTTTGTTCTTTATTTTTTCTGTGCCGACTTCAATAGAATTATTTTGATGCTGACATGTACAAAACACAGTTTAGAATTTGCTTAAACATTTTTCTGTTTTGACTCCTAAGACTGTGGAAACTGTTTTTTTTTTCTGATAAGTATTTCACTAAATGAGCCAATTGCAGAATTTTATAGTTTATTGGAACTGTAAAAAAAAAATAGTAATGTTGGTTTGACTATTCAAACTCTTTGCTTCAGTCTGGAATAAGTTTTCTATATTCCAGAAGATTTTGTGGAAATGCTTCTTCCCAACTTAGCATTAAATACAGAGCAGAGATCTTAGCCACCAAATGGTTATTCTTGAACAGAGAAGAATCTCACTTTTTGTCAGTTCTAAATGTAGTACATAAGTGTTTCAAAATAAAAGAGATTATTTCTGGTACTCTTCTTTCAGAAGAACTTGGCACTTACTAAGAGTAACAAAATTGGTTTGGAGCAAAACAGAAATAACATGCTGATTTAAAATACCAAAAGGTAATAGTAGATTGATTATATTAATCTCCCAAAATATAATAGCCTTGTACCATATTTCTTCTAATCACTAAGCCTGTTGAATGATTGCAACATTTTACTGTGTGTGTGCCAAGTATCTGAGGACTCATTATTAGTGGGCTATAAACGGAAGATGACCTAACATAATGTTACATTATATGTGCCAAATTTTAACATTGTAATTGCTCTTTCAGATGTATTGAGAGCATTAACATAGCAACTTCCAATCTGACACAGGAAATGAGAAACACACTATCCTCATGGCACCAGCGACTAACCACAACTATCAAATTGGTGATTGCCAGATTCTTGAAAATGGTCATGTGAAGAGGAGAAACAGTAGGTAGCTCAAAATGGATCCTACAGACATACTTATGGTGATAGACACCAAGCTCACATCCAATCTTATGGCCCTGGTGTTGTTACCAATAAGCATCAGGTCATACCTATTTCCTCAAACAGGCCAATTGCCTACACTAAAATGCTGGTTAACGTTGGATTGAAGAAGTAAATATATATGTTTCAGCTAGGCTTTGCTACTGATACATAGCCATTATGACTTTGGCTGGCTGATATATTTTATGGTTATGACATCCCCCCTCCTAGCTTTCCTGATTTGAATCTTCTGGTTTACTAAGTCTCAGATGCCATAGAGTAGAACACCAGTTAGCAGTCCCACAATACCAAGTGTGTGATGAAGACCATGTGTATATATTAATTAAATTAAGAAAAGTATTTCTGTTGGTTAAAACCAAGTGATGGATAAAGTGAAAGTATTTAAACAAACTAAAATAAATGATGAATAATTTGAGTTTAAAAATAAAGAATATGTCAATGATGATAGACCAAGTAAAAGTTAAAAACAAACCATGAATGATGATGGACAGAAGTGAAATGTAAAAATGAAAGAAAAGACACAGATAGCATTGACCAATTCTGTTGATTTCATTTTAAACTGTCCATGTCTAGGAATATCTCATGTTGTTCTTTTTGCTAAGAACAGTCATTTCATGATATGAGAAATCTTGGCTTTCTCCAGTGCCTTGTCTCTTGTGGCACTAAATATCCATTCACAAAAAATTGCTTGGTAGGTCAAAGGGAAATATTGAGTAACTACATTTGAAACCCAAAATGATCAACACAGACATCTCCTGTGAAACAACTTACCTTTGAAATATCTAATGTGAACAACCTTTTTGTTATAAGTGAATTATAACAAAACTGTTCAGCATTCACAACTATATAGGAGGACAGATATGATATAACAGTTCAGTACTCTTGGCTTTTAGTGAGATTTTTATGTTTCTTAATACTTTTGGAAAACCAGGTTCGAATTCCAGTCAGGTTCATTGCATTCATTTGGGAAAGGCATGAATCCATTTCTTCTTCCACCAGTTATGTCAATTGATAGGTGTGCTGTTAGGAAAGTTGGTTTACCACCAGATAATTTTTCTCCCCAGAATCTATCTTGCACTTTTATAAATTTACTGTTTGTCTGTGCATTGATTATTGTTAACATATCTAGTCAGGTGCTTCTGCTATGTATCTAGAGATTCTTGAGAAAATTCCAAGAAGAATCTGCAAAGTAATCAGTCCTAACCTAGTGGCTCAGCTTCAATCTTTTTCTCAATGTCATAACATGGCTTTTACTGACTAATTTGTATTTTACTGCTTATCAACCCTTTCTAGAGTATTTAAAACCAGAAAACATTTTTGATTATAAGAATGTTTTGGTGGTAATAATGATTTATTGATAAAAGTTCTACTAATAAACCATAGCAGGGAGGAGAAGAGATGGGGTTCATACCTTTCTCAAGGGTATTTATGCAGAATTGAATATAATGAACCTGACTGGAATTGAAACTTGGCTCTCAGATTTCCAATTTTGAACCATTATCTATTATATCACCTACCATTCAAGTTTAAAGCACCTGTTATTCCCAAGTGGTAACCCATCTAAGTACTAACCAGGCTTGACATTGCTTAACTTCAGTGATCGTACGTGAACCGGTGTTTCAGCATGATATGGCTGTAAGTTGATATTACATAGCTTCCCTGAGCCTTTTATATAAATATTTTCTTAGTAATTGCTCTGATGGGCTTTTATCTTTGGTACCTTGACTTCAGGGATTTAAGTGCAGTGCTAGATTGGCAGCTAGGTCTCATCATTTTAATGTTGAAATTGCTTGATGTAACCATAAATTCTATTTTAATATTTTCTTCTCTTGCACTTTTCACCTGTGGAACTCTTTTCTTGCTATCGTCAAAAATTCAAATACAGCATCAATAGTCACACCTTTTGTATCCTTGAAGCCTGTTCTTTTATTATCTCCTCTCACCTCAATAAACATTTTCTGTTTCTTTCAACCTCAGTAACCTGTAGCATTTCAGTTTCATTATCACCTTGCTTAGGGTGAAATGATTAAAAAAAACAAAAGAATTTATTTTATATTTGTCTTACAGGTTAAAGGGAATCTAAAAAATTCTCATGAAAGAAATGAAAATACATTGCTCAAGACAGGGTGGGCAAAACAGTTGGACATTTCCCTAGGGGACATTGTCTAAGTGCCAATAAAAAAAAAAAGGAAATTAAAAGTTAGTTTTCAAGGCTGGCAGTCTTTCCCTATTTGGAAGATTCATTTGTGATTACTGCCTTGCATGGGTTGAACTTGGTTAAAAAAAATATGATCCAGTTAGGCTTGATAAATAAATTTATTTAAAAAATATGGTCATTAAAATTGGAAGTAAACTTAATAAGAAATAAGACCAATTGAGAAAATGACAGCAGTTCATTTGAAAACAAAATTTGAACTTGTCTGATTTCATAATGACTTTGAAATGCACTGAAGCATTTCAGTTATTAGAGAAAAGAAGAAAATGAAAATCAACTTGCATTTTATCATAATGCAAGTTGGTTTTGAAATGGTATCTAGCAACAAACATTTTTCAATTAATTGGTGTTGAAACAAAAATACAATATTCATTATGTAGATGAAGTTCAGCTATTGTATGACCAGCTATGTGTGCAAACCATCAAACACACACACACACACACACACACATGCATATATATGTAAGAAAATTTGGAAAACCACGACTTTGCCATGTTTTGCTAATGAACTGGCATCACCAGAAAAATAATTTTCTCATATATTTGTCATTCTGTCAGATTCTCATCCACCATTACTTACATATAGATACTTCCAAAGATTTGCTAAAAAATCTATATGTCATGGTAAAAAATGCCCCAAACGTAATTAAAACCAAGTTTTATTGTTAAAATCTATCTTATTAAATTGGAAGATCAAAGGGATTTTTGATTATTTTTTGATCCTTTTTAGAAAATTTGAAATTTGGGTGAAGCTTTTTTTTTCTTATGTCAGCATGGAGGGAGGAGGGGGGTTAAAATATTAGTATACGGAATTTTAACTTCTTTTTTTCAGGTGAAAAATACATTGAAAATTCTTGCAAAAATCTTGTTGGATTCTAATGAACCTTTCAGGATGTATTCACAAGAACCTGCTGATTTAAAAATGTTTCTTTTTTAAAAAATCTTGGTAAAAACATATATTTTTTTAATGGCTGTTACACCCCCCACCTCCCCCCACACACACACACTTATTTAATTTTGTTAAATTTTGAGAAATTAATTTTTGGACCACTTAATGTGTAACTTTAGTTATATGCAGAACTCTTTGGAGAAATTAAATCATTATCTTGCTTTTTGTAAAACAGGACATTCAGTTACCAAATATCTACACTGAATTGTAAAATAAAAAATGCAATAAAACTAAGAAATTTAATTAGAAAAGCTTTAAATTGATTTTATGAATAAGATATATTATGAACACATAAGAAAAAAAAATTTCAATTAATAATGAATTTTTACAAGTATTGTTTTTCATTTTTTCTAAATTTGAATTAGAATAATTTATAAAGTTTTAAATTAATTATTTGTGTATTAATTTGTACGCTTACATTATATTGTTATTAAGTAAAAACTATATTTACTAATCATAAATAGAAAAGCTAACTAAAACTCCCACCCCCCTGCCAATAATTTCCTGAAGTAATTTTTACAGATATGTTTACTGTAGAAAAAAATTAGATAATTTACGTCTGTCAATCAACACCTTAAATAAAAATCTACCTCAATGCTAAAAAATGCATTTCTGTGATATTTGAAACTAAAAGTAAGTCATATTTGTTTCAAAACAAATTAAGCTTGAAATCAGCTAATATTCCTCAAATAAAACTTTAAAAAACTATATATATAGTATTTTGATTATAGGAAATATTAAATTTAATCTAGTAACTTGAAATTAAAACTAAAATAAAAGTGTCAAGAAAGATTTTTCATTTTAAAAAAAATCATTTTAAACCTTAGGTAAAGAAGGTTTCAAAGAATGACTTTTGTTAAAGGGTAATTTGAAGACTGATATAGAAAATCACCAAAGATTTTAAAAATTGCATTAAGTCTTTTAATGAATATATATTCTTTGGTATTTTAAATAATTACAACTAATATCTTCATTTTACTTTAAACAAAGCATTTTAATTTTTGTTCTTTATAGTAAATCAAATACTTTAGTGAGTGTATATGAATAAATATCAAAATTTTTTATATCTAATAATCTACCTCGAGTGGCTCTTAGGCCTTGTACAAGGTGAACATCAGTGTAAAAAAAAATAAACTCCAGTGAGTATCTATGGATAAATACAAAAGGTTTTTATCACCAGATTCACACTTCTCCCTGGCCTTTTGAACAGGAGCCGTTTTTTCTTTGTTTCCTGTTTAGGATTCAGTTTCTGGATTCTTCTAAAGTCTACTTCACCTCTATACTCCAAATGTTTTTCCTTTCTTACACTAATACAACTCCACTCAGTAACCTTCTACCTTGAGTGCATCTTGGGCCTTGTATTGGGTGAAGATTATTAAAAAAGAAAAATACTCTGGTGAGTATGTAGAGATAAATATCAAAGGGTTTTATCTCAAGTACTCCATTGAGTATCTATTGGTACATATCGTTACTACTTTTACAAGACTGACCACAAAAAAGTACTGTTTATATTTTACATAATCTTTTTTATTCTTCCTTTCCTTAAAATTTTCACCTGATATTGCAGCAAAATCCAGTCAATTACAATTGATTATGTATGAACAATTATTGATTTATATCCTCATTTGCTCCCTTCTGAGAAGAAAACACCACAAAGGAGATTTTTTTTCTCTTAAGAAATCAGTTAAATGCATATGAAGTTCACAATCTGTACATGACATGTAAGATATAAATTTGTAGAATGGTTATTTTTTCAGTAGATATACCTGCAAAGAAATTAAAGAAAACAATTAAAATTTAAAGAATTTTTGAAACAATTTTAATATGGCACTTATTTTGAAACTGAGACATGAAAACACAGAAGACTTTGAAAGACTTGTGGAATTTTTCAATATGCCTGTGTTTGTGCATGAAGGAAAGAAAGAGGGATTGACTACACCGTGTGTATATCCTATCAGTGTCTCATTCAGTAAACAGTTGTATAGCTTTTAGGTTAAATGCTTTAACTGATATTTTGCCAATAAAATTTTATTTAAGATCACAGATTTCATCTCACAAATATATATATATATATATATAATAATGAGTTAATGATATATAATTTTTTATATATCAAGAAACAAATTGGGGAAAATGCATGATAAAGTAGAAAAGTGGAGAGAATTTTTTGTGTGATGGGTTTTTGTTCTCTGATAAAGTCCTAAACTATGAAACATGTCACATGAAAATTTTTTCCATTTTGTCATACATTTTCCTCCCTATATATATATATATATATATATATATATATATATATATATATATATATAATATCGCACATTGAGTATTGATGCCAATAAATATTATAAATTAAATGATTGAAAATGTGTTTTTTTTCGCTACACAGTGATAACCATGTTTCAAAAATGAAAACTAAAAACTTTAAATTTAATTATATAATTAAATTAAATGCATTAGTTCCATTTCATCTTCAAATGAATATTGGAATAACTTATTTTTAAATTTACTGGATTTTAAACACACATATAAATTGATAATTTACTGTTTCCAAGGATACAGAGGAATCCAATCATTCAGACAGGGGCGGTAGCATGTTCATTTTTATTAACTATTGTTGTATCAATTATGAGTTATGTTAAAAAATGAGGGGTGTATTTTTCAACAAATTCTGATATCCGTTAAATGCATGTCGTCTGGGTTTTTTTTATTAACAGCAAAAAGTTTTTAGCATTTTTTTTCTTACTTGTATACTTAAAGATTCTTTTTTTTATGTTTTATATAACTACAATTTTCAAATATTTTTACTCTTAATTACTAATAGACTATATTTCTTTTTAAAAACAAGTAAATGTAATAGAATTACTTACATTATTTAAAATTATTTTTTTTTATCAAATATAAGTATGTATATTACCAGCTCCCATTTTTTAATTTTATTTTTAAATATTATTTAAGGAAAATTTTTGACAATGATGGCAAAAAATAGCTATTTCATTTCTCTGATTCAGTAAATTTTTATTTTTTATAAACTTAGTAATATATAGTTTCTCGTGTATGCACAATGTCAGTTATATTAATTTCATGGTGCACTGTAAGATTGTATAATATAAAAAGACCTATGAGTTCAGAAGACTCAGCTGAGTCTAGTGATCCCATTGTGATGTCAAAGTGGTCATATGAATTTTTTATCCATTGCTCACCTTTATGTATCAGTACTGATTTTTTTGCATTTATAATAATGCTCTTTTCTTCTTCAGTAATATCCGTGTACTGGGTAGCAAAGCCCAACACATTCATGAACAGCTCTTTAGATATTGATTGATAATAATTTTCAATATTAAACTGCATTAGTGCACAGTTCGTTTTCTGCTTTATATAAGCAAACCAATTTGTCATGTCTTTGGTATTAATCCAAAGTTTCAGGCCTATTTTTTCTTTAATTTGTTGATTTACCCTTTCAAGGATCATTTTACT